GGACACAGCTGAAAAGGGCACCTGCTTTAGCAAAAACTTGTTGATATTACCATTCTGTTTAACTTGCAAGAAAGTCTTAAATATCTCATACAGCCTGATAACTCTGGTGAGCTGCATGCATATGCAAAAATATTGGTGACTTCTTTGAATACCGTAGTTGAACCAGCTTTCTTGGATTCACATAGTGCTGTTCTTGTGGGCAATAATTAGTGAATAGATTTCAAAATGATTAGTGTGCCTGGAAGGAGTAAAATTGGATTGTGATCTCATAAACTCATAGTCAGGGAATCTCCTCAGGTCAAGTGTTTTAAAGCATGGGATTAATAAGATGTTACCGTTCTTTTAACCAATCACCTCATGCTTAAAATTACTTGTTTTGTCAGGTGATAAAAGAAAGTAATGTTAATTATTTGGGTATTTCTACATCACAAGTGTTTTTTCCCCATCAGTATGAAGAGATTAGAAACAAATTAAATACTAAAAATGGGAAAATTGAGTGTTATTACAATAGAATAATTTTCAACCTTTAATTATTCCTGAAGCAAAAGTATTGTTTTGCATCATGAGGTATGACCAACATTTATTTCAGCCTTTTTTTTCTTTCTCTTTCCAGCTGGATTTAATTATTATAATTTCTTTGGTAAACAAATCAACATATCCAGTATATGCAGACCCTTCCTGCAAAGTTTCAGCTTTATTTATGTCTATGCATTTCTAACTTACTGATTATCAGAGTATTGATGTCCAGGTTCATATCTCAGCTTGGAATAGATTTATCTACTGTTGTTATTTGAAAGGAATGAGCTGTTGATGATGCAATGTATGCAAACACCTAAAGTAAAATCAGAAAATATTTAAAAGCATGACTACAATATTGCATTGGTCATACCCCCTGGCTGGTATAAATTCATTAGAATGGTGCTGGTTTATACCAGCTGAGGATCTGGTCTTGTGCTAGAATACAGTGTTCATTGTGATTCAGCTAAAAACAGATTTACCAAGTAAAATAAGTCCGCTCAGTCATTAGAATAAAATGCAAATACTGTATTGTCAAATGGAGAGGGTCAGGGCTCTTTATATTTATGACTTTTCTCCTTTCTCCGAAATTGTTTTTAAATCATTGAAGTAAAATCCTGGATCTGAAAATCCCAGAACACTGGGAAAATTTAGGTCCAAATCTAAACTTCATTGATTTAAAATCCCAACCCTTTCCGACGACGGTTCAAGCACTGAAAAAAGTGCGTGGCAGGAAAAGAACAAACTAGAAAACTGCATACTGTGGAAACTGCAAAAGATCTGGATCCTACAAACCTCGGGGATTGCCTTCTCTTTTTATTTGGGCAGGTTGAATTGGAGTGTTGTTTGAGGAGTCAGTTATATCCCTTGCCTATCATATTTAATATTTTATCTGCTTTTATAAGTTATTTACCTTTCGTAAATTGCCCTGAGCCTTTTTTCAGGAAGGAAGCCATGTCAAACTAAGGGTGAAATTACAAGTTACACTTTGATCATACAAAATTTGTGGAATGTTAAGCAGTGTTAAATTTAGAAAGTGCTGTGAGTAGTCACACATTAAGGGTTAATACCTCTTCTTGCCTGCACAGCTCTGACTTGCCAGAAGGGGACTGGCAAGCACGGGCATAGCTAAGAACTGGGACACCTGGGCTCCATCCTAGCTCTGGGTGCGGAAGAGTGGCTGGGAGTGGTACATCCCAAGAGACTGAAAACTGCTCATTTTATCTCTGTGGAGAAGATTGAAGTTACCTTAACACAGGGGTAGGCAATTATTTTGGGCAGAGGGCCGCTTACTGAGTTTCGGCAAGCCATCAAGGGCCACATGACACGCAGCCCAGGGCAGGTTAATATTAATTTTCTAAATTTTTTAGGGGCCCTGTGGGCCAGATAGAATGGCCTGGTGGGCTGCATCCAGCCCCCGGGCTGCATTTTGCCCACCCCTGATTAAACACAGGCATGGTCAGAGTTAACTTTTGCCTGAAGTGGCACACCGTTGAGATACAAAAAGGGAACTTAGTAGAAGTTAACAAGCCTTAAAGTTTGAATGCTCATATTTTATTTGCCCCTAGCATAGTCTAAGTGTAATGTGTAACTTCAGACTTAAATCAAATAAACAGGGATCTGGGTTTTCCATTTGATGTGAAAGAAAGAAGATTTCCTAATTTGAGAAAACCAAGCATTTTCCCCATTAAAGGTGAAAAATGTAGGAAACCATGGAATTCCTCTTGCAGGCTGGCAGCTTTCCAGTCTGCAAGGAGTTACTTGGGGCTAGGGGGACCAGGGGGCAGGTGAATGAAGGCAGGGAGTACCATGTGCATGTGCGTGTATGCATGCACATGGCCAGTAATATAACAAGGCAGGGTGGAGGGAACAGCCCTGGCAGCTGGATGCAGGTAAATCTATCGGGGGCAGGGGTTGGGGGCCAGGGCTTGGGGACTGTCCAGGGGGCAGGGGCTGTGGGGGGGTG